TAGTGGTTTGTGTTGCTAATGCTAACGTACATCTCACTTAGTAAATACAGGGACTGTGAACTCCTTGAGCACCTGCAGCCTGTGAGTTAATATTTGTCCTCTTTATTTCTCTAGGGCCTATTCCCTGGTGGATTCCAGTCAAGTGTCGACATTTCTGATTTCCATTCTTCTGATAGTCTATGGTAGTTTCAGGTAAGATACTCTCCATGGGGTTGTTTTCATTTGCAGGTAGAAGGAACGTTGCTCTGTGGAGAGAAAAGGGTTTTGTAAGGACTTGAGTTCCAGTGGCTAATTCTAATATTTGTTCTTTGGTTGACTGCTGTTAATCATGTTTAACACGTTAAACTTAGGACTTTAGCATATTAATGCAAATGTGGAAAAACTAATTGCTTAAAACTAGGTCCGCAGATAGTGAGTGACTTGTAGAAAAATTGAGCTTATTGGGAAGGCTATAAGGGGAGCTGACAGTGATTTTTCTATACCACAGGGATCAAAAATTAGAAAGACAATTCAGAATACAAAAAAATACATGCTGCAAAATGAATAATAGTCACTGTTATGTTTGTTTGTTTGTTTGTTTCTCTAACTCCAAATCAAAGTGTTAACCAGAGTGCAGCTGTGCTCACGGAGCTGGTAAAATTCTCCTTGTCCTGAAGAATTGCTTCGTGACTAGCATCTTTACAGAAGTTAATTTTCCCTTACTACAAAAGCATTGGCATAGCTTGATCCCTACAAATTGCTAATAATAGACTTTTTTTAAACCTTTGGAAACCATTTCATGTAATTCACCCTGTTACTCTAGTTGAGTGTGGTAAATTACCAAGTCTTCTTTCTCCCTGTTGTCTTTGGGAGTGCTGAGACTGGATCCTGATGACTACATACTCATCCTAGCACTCAGTCATATGACTAGGAAGAAAACATAAAGAAGACAGACAGATGTCCCCTTCTCAGACAATCTTCCGTTGAAGGAGCTATAGTGGGTGTGTAATTCAGATCATTGTGTGGCTGACACAACCAAAAATGAAGGCTGTGGCCTGGAGAGAATGGCTCAACAGCCAAGAGCATTCCCTGCTCTTCCACTTGATGCTTTGGTTTCTAGAATCCGTTGTAAGTCCAGCTCCAAGGGGTCCAACACCCTCTTCTGGCCTCTGAGGGCACCAGGACACGTATGGTATACACTCAGACACAGCACACATACACATAAAATATGAAAATGAAAGTAAAGGTGCTTGGGAAATTTTAAGTTAAAATTTCATGAAACAGCACGAATAATAAATACATCAGCAAAAGGATTTTGAACTACCTAATGTTTCTGGATGTTGATACTTTGTGAAATCACAGACTTTCAGTTCTTTATTATAGCCATTGTAGAAGAAAGATGTAGCACTATATACACACACTGACTAAAGTTTTAACCACAGAGATGTCTACAGAAGCCTTAAGCTCTTTTGCTGGTTTGTTGGCTTTTCTGTTTGGTGTTGTTGTTGGTGGTGTTTTGTCAACACAAGCTAGACTCCTCTGGGAAACAGGGAGCCTCTGTTAGATGACTTCTCCATCAGATTGGCCTGTAAGCAAGTCTGTGGGGCATATTCCTGATTAATGATTGATGTGGGAAGGTACAGCCTTCCAAGGCAGTGCCATCCCTCGACAGGCAGTACAAGTGGTCCTGGGTTGTGTAAGAAAACAGCTGACAAGCATGGAGGGCCAGCCAGTGAGGAGCATTCCTCTGGTTCTGCTTCAGAGTCCCTACCCTGATTCAGTGATAGACTGTGATCGGGGTTTGTGAGCCAGATAAATCGCTTTCAGGTGTGATGTTTCTCCAGCAGAGTAAAATAGGACACATTTCTATTTATGTATGTATTTACTTTGAGACAGAGTCTCTATATATAATAACCCTGGCTGTCCTGGAACTCCCTCTTAGACCAGGATGGCTTCAAACTCACAGAGATCTGCCTGCCTGCCTTTGCCTCCTTAAGTACTGGAACTAAAGACATGTGTCACCATGCCCGGTTTAAGACTGCTTGTTATTTGAGACAGGGTTTTTCTGTGTAGCCCTGAACTGTTCTGGAACTCCCTCTGTAGACTATGCTGTCCTTGAGCTTGCCTCCCGAGTGCTGAGATTAAAGGTGTGGACCACCATCGCCCAGCTAGGACACAATTCTTAATCAGTTTTAGGAAGCCATGGCAATTTAGAACCTTACCAAAGTGATCGATATTATCCATATTTTGTGTTTTTACCCCTATTTTATCTTTTATTGCCACTGATACCATGTATCAACATTTAAAAAAAAACTTACAATTTAAAACAAAAAGAGGCATCTTTAGAGTTACAACTCATACCACTTTTATTAGTGAAAATTACCTTTTCTTTCATACACACACACATATACACAGAGTTGTGTACATTTAGAACGTTCCTTTATATACTGATTCTTTTCACACAACACCCCAAGTATTTTCAGTAGTCATCATATTAGTGTTTAGTAATTCAATATTTCTTCATGCTGTTTTTGTTGGACATGTGAGCTGTTAACATTTTGTATCTTTTTTTCACCTTTGGTTGAACTCTATTATTAAGATAAACATTTAGGGCCAGTTAAAGTGGCTCAGCAAATAAAGGCACTCGTTACACCAGCTCAGAAATTCAAGTCAGATCCTGTAGACACAAGCTTATGTCCCACCTGGTTCTAGTCCCACAGTCTTTCAGTACCAGAGAAGCACACAGAGGCTTATATTAATTAGAAACCATTTGGCCTATTAGCTTAGGCTTATTATTAACTAGCTCTTACAACTTAAATTAATCCATAATTCTTGTCTATGTTTAGTCATGTGGCTTGGTACCTTTTCTCAGTAAGGCATTTTCATCTTACTACTTCTAATCTGACTCGTGATTGCATCTCTGCCTTTCCTCTTTCCAGAATTTTCCTAGTCTGGTTGTCCCAGCTATACTTCCTGCCTGACTACTAGTCAGTCAATGTTTTATTAAACCAATATAAGTGACATATCTTTACAGTGTACTGGTGTGGGAGGTCCTTCTGTCTATGTGTTGCTCTCATTGGTTAATGAATAAGGAAATTGCCTTGGCCTGTTGATAGGGCAGAACTTAGGTAGGCGGGGAAAACTAAATGGCAAGCTGGGAGAGAGGAGGCAGAGTCAGAGGAGAAGCCATGGATCCTCCACCTGAGACAGACGCTGGTTAGAATCTTTGCGGGTAAGCCACATCCATGTGGTGATATACAGATTAATAGAAATGGGTTAAATTAATATAAGAGTTAGCCAGTAAATAGCTAGAGCTAATGGGCCAAGCAGTGTTTTAATGAATACAATTTCTGTGTGGTTATTTTGGGGCTAAGCTAGCCAGGTGACCGGGTCAAACAAGCAGGCCCTCCCCCTACAGTGTACAAAAGCATTATCCCACAGCAAGATCCCTTGAATCCATGTAAAAGGAAGGAGAGAACCAACTATGCAAAGAACCTCCCCCCCCGCCATGTGAAATATATTTGTTTAAAGATAAACATTTAAAAGTTGAAATACATGAACTGTCTCTTCCTACTACATGTTGCTGTATTAGTTCCAGAAAATTGCACCAGTTCAAGATTGGGCAGATCTTAGCATTGTATTAAAGAGAGTAACAGAATTGTTGTATAGGTGTTAAGGGTCTCTTTGGTGAACTTCTTGGTTTACAGTGAGAAGACTGGAGCACTGCTTTTGTGCCTGGGAGAGCAGAAGACATCAGAGCTACAGATAGATGTGAGCCTTCAAATGGGTGCTGGGAACTGAACTTGGGTTCTGTGCAAGAGCAACAACTGCTTTTAACATCTGAGATATCTCTCCTGCCCATTTTGTTTCTTTGTTTGGCAAGGTCTCACTGTGCTGTGCCCTGGCTGTCCTGGAGTTTGCTGTGTACACCAGACTGCTCTTGAACTCACAAAGCTCCAACTTCCCGATCCATAATAACTACTCATCTCCCTAGATGTGCCTGCTCAGGACACCCCAGCCGTGATTCTTAGGATGTGACCCCTTGTCATTGTCTGCTTTCATTGCTCTGTTTTTAACAGCATCCATACCTGTTAGTGTATTTCACTTCTTTTTATTGCTGAGTAGCTTTTCTGGCTGACTGTGCTGCTGCTATTTTGGCTGTTATGAATAACAGTGCTGTGAATGCTTATGTATAAGTGTGGGTGTGAGAGTACATTTTTATTTCTCTTCAGTAGCAGAAATACTAGATGATATGGTAATTCTTTGATTTAACATTTTAAGAATTGCCACTGTTTTCCAAGGCATCTGTACCACTTTACGTTCTCACCAGCATTGTACGAGTTTCTTCATATTTTCACCAACAGTTCTCTAATGTTAGTGTTTTCTTCATCTTTACTAGCATGTATTAATTACATATCATAGACTTCAACTATCTGATTTCCATACCTGTATATCAGTATTTTCCCCTTAGTTCATGCAAGCACATTACTTTCTTATTCCCTTCCTTTTGACTCTATTCTTCTTCCCAAATAGTCCTTTTCTGCTTGCATGTTTTCTTCTTTGTTATTACTGTTCAGTCTAGACTCAGCATATAAAAGGAAATATGATTTTTATCTTTCCCAGCCAGGTTAATTATACTTAATATAATGAATTCCACTTTTACCTATTTTCCTGCAAATGGTATACTTTCATTTCCTTTATGGCTAAATTCTGTGTGTGTGTGTGTGTGTGTGTGTGTGTGTGTGTGTGTGTGTGTGTTCCGTTGGTTCATTAAAAAACATCAAAGGAAATGCATGACTTGCCTATTACCACACATTGGTGTGGGGTATCTCTGTTGCATGCTGACTTAGCTTCCTTTGACTCTGTAACTAGAAGTGATTATCAGGATCTTACTGAAGTTTTCTTTGTTGTTGTTGTTTTTGTTTTTGTTTTTTCAAGAACCTGCATCCTGGTTTCCATGGCATTGGAACTAATTTATATTCCCACCAGCTAGGTGCACATAATGTATTCCCTTTCCTACCTGTGTCCTTAACAAGCATTTGGGCTTAGATATGTTGTTTGTTTCTTGATGGTAGCCACTCTGGGTTAAGATGGAACCTCAGCATCATTTCAGTTACCCATTGTCGTCATTCTTCTGTGATCCTATGGGTATAAAGTGGTACCTCATTATAGCTTTGGCTTGCATTTCCTTAGTGACTTACTGTGTCCCCCATTTTTTCATGTGTTTTGTCATTCATGTAGATTTTTGTGGCCCCCCACCCCATGAGGGTCAAGTCCAGGGTCATAAGCATGCCATACTTACACCGAGTCCCTCTCCCCATTTTTATCTTCCTAGTGTTGAATTTAAGAGTTCTTTACATACTGTGAAGATGTCTTTACTGGTTACATACTTGCAAAACATTTTTTCTTTCTTCCAGTCTCTGGGTTTCTCTTTTCATTTTCTATATAATTGTAGTTGTATATTTCCTGGTGGACTGACCTTTGTAAATTATCCCTCTGTATCAGTGGTTCTCAACTTGTGGGTCAAGATCCCTTTGACAAACTTCTGTCTCCAAAATGTTTGCATTATGATTCACAACAATTGCAAAATTACAGTTATGGAGTAACAATGAAAATACTTTTATTGTTGGAGTCACCTTAACATGAGGAACCATATTAAAGGGTTGCAGTGTTAGGAAGGTTGAGAACCACTGTTTATACCTTCCTAACAATTTTTGTTACTATTTTACTGAGTCTGATGTTAGTATACCAACTCAAAGTCTTTTAATTTTTTTTTAATTTTCAAGAATTTGTTAAAGATGTATCAAAATCAAGCTACAATGACAGATTTAAATGGCAGCCTTGGGAATCCCAAAATTCTTTTTTTTTAACATTTATTTTTTTAGTGATGTGTATGTAGGGTGTGTGCACATACAAGTGCATCATTTCATAGCCTTCCTTGGAGGCGTTCAGATAAATAAATGTTTGTTAAATGATTCATAATACTCTTTGATAGAAACATTTGGGAAGTATTTCAGTCAAAATTGAGGCTATACAACCAACAGCAGGGGCTGTGGTCTGGATGACAAGTTTACTCTAGAGAATAGCCTGAGGTTGTCATGCTGTCTGGCTGTTGATCCCACAGTTCTTCCTGACCATGGCGCTCTTAAATACAGTGGTGATCCAGATGTGTGCTGTTGCCAGCTGAATACGGACCGCCTTGTGCATACCATGTTTCTCCTTGTCCTAAGGCACATAGTGTAGGTTTTCCACAACAGGCCAAGGACTTTGCTCAGAAAATCCTTTAGAGTCTAAAGCATGAGTTTATTTCCAAGCATTGGTGGGGTAAGAGTGTAGTTCAGTGTAGAACACTTGACCTGCCTGTCATGTTCACTCTGGTTTTGAGCTGCAGTGGCACAAATTACTAAGTTTTTGGTGTTTGTGTTGCCTGTACATGTTATGTGGGGGTATATTATGGTGGAGTCCTCAACAGCACTCTACCTTATTTTTTAAGATAGCATCCCTCACTGAACCTGGAACACATCAATTCGGTAGCCTGAGTAGCCAGTAAGCACTATGAATCCTTCTCTCTCCAGCCCTAACACTGGGGCTATAGATAACCCTACTGCACCTGGCCTTTACTCTGCTCCTGGGGATCTGGGCTCAGGGCCTCGTGCTTGTGTGGTTTAACTGACTGAGGCATCTCCCCAAATTTTATTCCTTTTTTCAAATTTTATTTCTTATGATTTAATTCTTACCTTTAAACAAAGAAAAATTATAGTTAGATCTCTACCTCAGCCTTATTAAAGACTTACATTCAGTGTGCTAAACAACTTCCTGCTATAATGTTATGATAAACTCTTGTCGTGACCATGATCTATTTGACACTAATTAGTTGACCTTTGGATTCCACTCAGCTCAGGATTAAACCGTAGCATCATGTCGAAAGTTGCTGACCTGACATTGTCTGCAGTGAGACAGTACACACGCACAGGTCAGAGGAACTGCATAATGCAGTGATATGAAAGCTATCCTTAGCACATTAGTACATGGAAGACTCTAAAGTGGTGTGTCTGTCCTAGAAGTGGATGGGGAGATGGCTCGGTAGGTAAGAAAGTGGAATGATCTTTGTTCGCCTCTCCAGCACACATGGTAGTGTGTACCTGTAACCCTGGCTTTCGGGGATGGACACAGGCAGATCCAGTAAGCTTAGCCCAAACAGCCATGTTCAGTAACAGACCATCTCAAAAACTGAGGTGGAGGCCAGGCGGTGGTGGCGCACGCCTGTAATCCCAGCACTCGGGAGGCAGAGGCAGGCGGATCTCTGTGAGTTCGAGACCAGCCTGGTCTACAAGAGCTAGTTCCAGGACAGGCTCCAAAACCACAGAGAAACCTTGTCTCGAAAAAAACAAAAGAAAACAAAAACAAAAAAAAAAAAACTGTGGTAGAGTATGATAGAGGAAGATGCCAGAAGACTTCCTCTGTCTCCCGCAGGTGCTCACATGGGTATGTGTTCCTGTGTACAGCACACAACACACACACACACACGGAGAGAGTGTAAATACATACTAAATGTTCTGGGGCTCTCTTGCTTTGTACTATTGTTGTTGTTATTTTGCATGTTTCGTATTGTGGCTTTTGTGTTATTTTTCTGGGGGTGAGGGGCTAGAGGTCTTGTTTGGTGAGTAGCTAAAGGTCAGGCAGGGGACATGAGATGATAACACAATAGCACTAGTGCTGGTTTGCTAGGACCGCCTAACAAAGTGCCGCAGACTTCCTGGTTAGACAGCAAAGAGCTTTACTTTAGTTCTAGAAGCTGAAAGTCCAGCATATAAGATGCCACCAAGGAGGCCTTCATCCTGACACCTCTCCTTGCATCATGGATTTGATCTTCACAGATAGATGGTGCCTTCATACGTTTTTTTCTCCTGACTACACAGATGTCTGGAAGGACCATCTGTCTCTCCCTTTCTCTTCGCCACATATGCTCATTTTCTGTGATACCATTTTAAGCCAGGTGTGGTAGCACACACCTTTAATCCTAGCACTTGGAGAACACAGGCAAGTGTATTTCTGTGAATTCAAGTTCAGCTTACTAGTCCAGTCCTAAGACTGCACAGTGAGTCTAAGGGAGGGGTAGAAAAAGAAAACAATCTTACCTGTAATATTTAAAACTGTCTGCATTCAGTCAGTCACATGTTCAGGTCCTGTAGTTAAAACTACAGATAAGAATCTTGTGAGTGTACTGTTCAGTCCAACTTAACTTAATAATGATCATATTACTGTTCAGACTACAATACTCTGAATGATTTTGAAGCGGGGTACTTTAATCTTGCTATGAAAATATAATGAATAATTGCCTAGGAATTTGTAGTCCCCTGCTTATAGGGTTACTCTGGAAATCGTGCCTTGGTCAGTGTGGCACACTTCTTTAATCCCAGCAGGAAGACTAGATAGGCGAATCTCTGTATCTCTGTGAGTTTCAGGATATCCAGGACTGTTACACAGAAAAACCTTGTCTCAGAAACAAAAGAGAGAGAGAGAGATATCTTGGACTGGGGAGTTCCAGTTCAGTGGTAGAACGTTTGCATGGCACATCTGAAGACTTAGGTTCCATTCCCAGCACTGAAGAAGGAGCCATTTTGGCACAGTGCCTGGCCAGTGAGTCAGTTAAGGCTAGCTGTTATAAACTGAGTGTGCTGGCACACTCCTGTTATCCTTGCAGTGAGCAGATAGAGGCAGGACATCAGAAGTTCAAGGACATGTTTGGTTACATAGTAACTTCAACCCAGTCTCACACTGTCCTTCCCTTGACCACCCCCAATAAAACCCAGCTGTCATCATTGTGGCCCCAGAATATTTCCAGCTACTTCATCAGAATACCATCCTCTTCTCTAATATGCATCTATGGTGGGTTAGATGGTCAAGAGACAGGATTTCTTTGCTATATAGCCCAGGCTGGCCTCAAACTTGCTGTTCTCCTCTATCTTCCTCTTGAATGATGACTGTGTGCATCAATAACTGATATTTGCCTCATATAACTTGACCTACTACTACTTCCTGTTCAGTTATAGTTTATGTAAAGTGGAAATAAAAATAATTGGTTTGGTTATTTTTTTTAAGACAGGATTTCACTGTGTAACACTGGCTGATTAAGATTTTTAATCCAAACTTGCTCTCCTCTTGCCTCAGCCTCCCAACTACTGGCATTTTGGGCTTGTGCCACCATGTCCAGTTCCTTCTGTTGCTCATTTTTCTTACTTTCTCATTGTATATGTATTTGTGTGTGAGTGGTGTGTTTGTACCCCAACATGCATGTGGAGGGACCACTCTGTGGAGCTGATCCTCTCCCTCCATGTTTATGTGGATCAATTTCAGATCATCAGGCTTGCACAGCAAGCTCTTGACCTGCTAAACTGTCTCGCAGCCCACGGTGATCATTAAAACATTGATTTCAGTAAGCAAATAGCCAGGTGCAATTTGAATGGAGTGTACAGTAATAACATTTTGGTGTGTGGGCATCATATTATGTTATTGCACAGCAGTAATAAGATTATGGTGGTGGGACAGGGCTGGGAGAATGAGAGTAATTATCTTTGAAGACAGAACAGACTGTTCAAGGTCTAGCCAAACACTTTGATGTCCGTCGTTAATAAGTTACCAAGTAAGTGAGGATAAAAGCCCATAATTCAAAATAGTCCCAGCGCTCTGAGGCAGAAGTCTTCTGCAAAGGCAGTATTTAAACAGTTGGAATCTGCTGTCAGCTGTGTGAGTATACCAAGCTATTGCTGGATTCCAGTCACAGAGGCCTGCCCAAGCCAGGCCAGCAATCCTAACACTTCCCAGCTTGAGCCCTCCACTTCACTTACACAGATTTCTGTGTATGCAGCAGTGACCCTTAATGATCAGACAAGGCTTGATTTTGAGCAGGATTGAGGCAACTGAGAAACTCAAAGTCACTTACATAAGACCTGGTAGAAGTGGTCGTCTCCATAACTCCTTGTGCTGCAACAGGACTTGCCAGCAAGACAGTGAGAGATGCATTTGGTTGCTTGGTTGATTTGTTCGGGAGTTTTACTGTAAGATACTCTTTAAAAATTACACGTACAGATGTGTATTTGTTGGGGAATGTGTTTGTGTGAGTACAGGTACCCAGCTGAGTCCAGGAAGCATCCAGTTCCTTGGAGTTGTTACAGGTTACTAACCACCCACATTGGGCACTAAAAACCAAATTCAGGTCCTCTCAGAACAGAGTACACACTCTTAACTGCTGAGCCATGTCCCTGGTACTTGCTTTTTTTTTTTTTTTTGTAAGACCTCTAGGTAGTCCAGGCTATTCTCTAATTTGTAAAATCTCCTGCCTCAGCCTCCTGTATGCTGAGATTATAAACCTGTGCTGCCATGCCCATCTTCAAGGTAGAGAGTTTTTTTTAAGGGAGCAGGATGTGGCAGTTCGCTTCTTTGCAAAAGTTTCACTATATATTTATGTTTATGGGTGTGTTCGTATGAGTACAGGTGCTTGAGGAGGCCAGAAGCAGGTGTTGATTGGTTCCCTGGAGCTGGAGTTACAGTGGCCATGCTAAAGTCCAGGAGAGTGATCACAAGTCCTCTATGAGAGCAGTTCACGCTCTTCATGGCTGAACTCTCTCCAGCTCCTATTTTTTCTGATGCTGCTTTTATTTTTATTACATGCAAGTAAGTGGGTTTGTAACCTTTCCTATGTATATTCTCATTCTACTTTGTCCTCTGTCACCAGTGACCTTCCACTCCAGTCCTCTCTTTCCCACAAACACACCCTTTCTGCCTTCTTGGTATATATTCTTTTTGACTTCCTTTGCTGTGCCTTTAGACACAGTTCATCAGAATCAGCTGGAATAGGAAAGACAAATATCATATTGTTCCCTCATATGTGGAATCTAGATTTATATACATGTATGTTGTTGGACTTTCTTTGGACTGCCAGCTCCCCAATAATGACACAGAGACCTCTTATTAATTATGTAAGCTTGGCCTTTAGCTTAGGCTTGTTCCCAACTAGCTCTTAGAACGTACTATTTGTATTATTCTATGTTCTGTCACATGGCTAGTTACCTATCCTCCATAATGTATGTCCAACTTCTTCAGTGTCTTGCTAGTGTCTCCTGCTGTGCAGATTCTAACCCTGAGTTCCTCTCTCTGCCCAGAAGTCCCACCTATTACTGCCTACCAGCCATTCAGCTCTTTATTAAACCAGTCAGGTGCCTTAGGCAGGTAAGGCAAGACAGACACATCTTCACACAATGTAAACAAATATCCCACAACACATCTACATAATACATATATAAGAAATGAAGTAGAAAGGATGGCTGTAAGAGAAGAGGAGGGAGGTCTAAAGGTAGAGTTCTTAGTAGCTCTCAGCTAATAATAAATTGAAAGAGCTAAATAGTCCCTTAACCTGGCTAGCGCTGACCTCAGCACCCAGGTTCATTCTCCCATCTTCGTAGAGAGGCTGTGTAATGACTGTGCCTCCAGTCAGACCAGAAAGGCAACTGGCAGCTTTCCAGTCCAGAGTGTCAGGGTGTGCCAGAGTAGTGGAAGCCTGGCCCCAGGGCAGAGATGTAAATAAAGATTCTTGTAAAGTTACCCAGCTGTCACCAGAGTCAGAGAAGCAGTGTGGACATAACAAATGTACTTACTGTTATTATATTCATAAGTGGATTTGAAAACTCAGATTACTGCACATCTTCCCAAACTATGCCCACAGGGAAGAGGCAGTCTGTGTTCCCCTGGCTGCAGAGATGTCTCCATGCACTGCATCACCAGTCTAGACGTCCCAGCCTTTCAGGTGATTAGCGCTGTCATGAGACCTAATGAATGTTAGGTACAGAGGGGTGGAACCGTTCATTGAAAATTACCATAGGTGTTGTGGCAAAAGAAATTCATTTTAAAATGTCATGTACAGGATTTTTTGGGTTTTTTTTTATGTTTTATTGTTGTTTTATAGACCTAATTAGAAGCAAGAAGTAACAGTTTGTCCAACATCCAGTCACTATAACAATTCCTCTAGGACCGATGGGATTGGATAGTTAAATTAGTCTTTCATTTAGATCCTTTGGTAGATCTAAAAATAAATATAAGATCCCAAATGTATATAAGCAGATGAATGTTAGAATTATAAAACTAAATAGTCTAGATTTGTTTATTTTTGTTGTTATTGTTATTATTATTATTGGTCTCTCAGTGTGTGTGTGTGTGTGTGTTTGCATACAAAATACAAAAAGTGACGTTTTCAAGATAGTGTTCTACAGACAGCAAAGGAAAGCAATTCTGACTCATAATGAGTGATCCCTGTTTCCTGGCTCAAGCTTCTATACCATGCAGCAAAAGCATTCCCTGAGTCAAGAGAGATTTGAGAGAGTATGGATCCATGCATGTGAGGAAACTATGTGACAGTATCTGAAGAAAATGTCTGTTCCCATTGTAGCCAGCTTGGAACAATTTATCATTCACATGGCATCTGATTATTGTCGGATCAAATGGTCATCTGATTAGGTCTATAAAACATGTAGAGTGGGCTGGAGAGATGGCTCAGAGCATTGTCTGCTCTTCCAAAGGTCCTGAGTTCAATTCCCAGCAACCACATGGTGGCTCACAACCATCTGTAATGGGGTCTGGTGCCCTCTTCTGGCCTGCAGGCATACACACAGACAGAATATTGTATACATAATAAATAAATAAATACTTAAAAAAAAACATGTAGAGTACTCAGTGATAGAAAGTAATTTCCGAGACCAACTGCTGCTTCACATCACTCCATAAGCACCAGAACAACAACTGAGCAAGTGAGAAATTAGACAAAATATATAGTTGTAGAGTGAAGTTAAATAATACACTGGATTGTATGGCACTATCAGCTATTAGACATTTCAGAGAAGATAGTGGACCTAAAAATGAAGAAATAGAGACTGCCCAAAAAGAAGCAGGGAAGAGCATCACTGAAAAGCAGAGACCTGTCATTGCCTCTCCTGTCACACCACTCCCTCAGGAAGCTGCCACAAAAGGATCACATACTGAGACCCCTGCCTCACCCGTCCCCAGCTACATAAAGGTGAGATCATTGCCATATATTTTTAGAGTTGTTGAAAACCAGAATTCACAGATCCAAGAGCCTCAGTAAACTCCAAACACAAGAAGCTGGATTTATAGTGCCTCAAGGTACAGCACAACCTGCATGTAATAGCTCAGAACCAGTTAGAAAAGGAGATCCAGAAAGTGGCAAGAGGCAGGGTCATCTGCAGATGGGTGGGGTTATCTACAGAGATGGAAAGACGAAGATGACAACTCAGTTCATCATTAGAAAAGAAAAACACAATGTCAAGACATTAGAAATAAGCTCATCACTGTAAGATTCTATGGCAAAAAAAATATCTTTCAGGAATGAAGAAAAAATATTTTTAGATAACAGAACCTGAAAGAATTTGTCTTCAATTTCCAGCAGCCACATCGTAGCTCACAGCCATCTGTAATGAGATTTTGTGCCCTCTTCTGGCCTGCAGGGATACATGGAGGCAGAATACTGTATACATTATAAAGAAATAAATCTTTAAAAAAAAAAACTTTCTAAAGGAAATCCTTCAAACCAAATCAAAGTAGCAGCACTTGAGCTGAGTGTGGCTAAGAGGCAAAGCAGACCCATATCTGCAAGTTTGAGGCCAGCCTGGTCGTCATGGTAAGTTCCAGGCCACCTAGAGCTACATAATAAGACCCTTTCTTTAGAAAAATTTTAAAAAATAGCTGTTTGTGTCTGTAGAGGTGGCTTGGTGGTTAAGAGCGCTGACTGCTCTTCCAGAGGACCTGGGTTCAGTTAGAGCCATCTGTAACTCCAGTCTTAGGGGATCTGATGGCCTCTTTCTGATCTCCATGGACTTCTACAAATGAGGTCCAAGACAGCCAGGGCCACAGAGAAACCCTGTCTCAAAAACCTATAAGGAAAAAAAAAAAAGAAAAGAAAAACCTGGATCAGGATATTGCTCAACCCCTAAAGTGACTTCTGCACAAACATGAAGACCTGAGTTCAAATCCCCAGAGCCCACATAAAAACTGGGTGCGGCACAACTAGTAGACAGAGACAGTTGGATTTCCGGAACTCTAGTCAGCCAGTCCAGCCTAATCCGAGATAGAAGTGGAGAATAATAAAGGAAGACATTTAATATTAACCTCTAGCCTCCACACATCTGCACCCTTACATATACACAGAAAAACATAATTGCTGTAAATATAAAATTTAAAAAGTTAAAAGGGCAAGCCAGGCAGTGGTTGCACATGCCTTTAGTCCCAGTACTCAGGCAGTAGAGGAAGGTATGGATTTCTCTCCTGAGTTTGAGGCCAGTTTGGTCTACAGACCAAGTCCCAGGACAGCCAAAGCTACACAGAGAAACCCTGACTGGGGGGGGGGGGGACAAATAATAAATAAAGACTTTAAAAGACTCAGAAAAGATGCATGTTGCTTATACTCATCAATGAGGAGATAGAGTTCTCTGTCTGCATTTCCACAGACAGAGAACATAGCCCTGAGTGTTAACTTTTATAAGAGAACATTGTTGTGGAATATTTAACTATATAAAGTTATGTTGCATTTGTTTAATTATGTAAAGATATATTGCACTTGTTCATGTCATGGAATATTTAACTATGTAAAGATATGTTACATTTGTTTAATTATGTAAAGATGTGTTGCTGTTTACCTTGCCTGCCTAAGGCACCTGATTGGTCTAATAAAAAACTGAATGTCCAATAGCAAGGGAGGAGGTATAGGTGGGATTTCTATGCAGGGAGAGTAAGTAGGAGGAGGAATTTAGACCGAAAAGGAGACAACAGAGAGATGCCAGGGGTCAGACAGACAGACAGACAGACACAAAAGAAGGAAAGTAGGACATACAGAACAAAAGAAAGGTAAGAAGCACTGAGGCAAAATGTAGATGATTAGAAATAGGTTAAATTAGGTTA